AGATGATCCAGTGCACCGTCTGACCACAGGCACCACACTGTAACATTATCAAGTATCTGTGACCTCAGCAGTTTATTATTAGACGTTCACTTTTGTACTTTTATCTAATGATTTCTGACAGATGTTGGAAAAGTATTCACTAATGTACTGTACTAAACTGTACTGTACTGTACTGTACTGTACTGTACTAGAACTGATGCACTAGTACTTATGTGTTTAATGTTTCATCTTCATTTTTTATATTCTTATTCTCACGTATATTTCAGGATCAGCCTGTGGTCCAGTGGGTTAAGCATTGGGTTTGTGATCAGTTTGATTCCCAGTTCAGTACCATGGGTATTTTCTAAGTACCAGGTGAACTTCTTCCTCATCCTCGTTTTTTTTATCGTCTTCCTTTTCGTCTTTTGTCCACCAACATCTTGTCGTCTGAGGTCACAGCCCCGTGGCTGACCCCTGACCCCTGACCTCTGACATGTTTGTTGTGATTACACGCTCACAGGAGTTCCGTCAGCTGAAGCTTTAATAAAGAGATGTTGGGGAGAAGCAACAAATAAAAGCCGGCAGATTCTTCCTGCAGATAATCGGTGCTCACCGCCCANAATAACGTCAACAGCAGATTTTCGGAGCCTTTATTTCTGCACTGAAGAACAAAGCGATTGCGATCGATGCGTTGTTTTGTGTCTCAGTGAGCAGAAGAAAAACTCTTTATTTATTTAAACTCTAAAATTCCCACAGATGCGCTGTGGTTCCTGGAGAGTCTCAGAACTGTTAACGACCTCTGACACTGAACCTCCGAGAAGGAAGAAGAATCGCTGTGTTTCCCCAGGTTTTGATAGATTTTCCCTGGAAATGAAAAATGTAAAAACATTCATTTCCTGCCTGTTCTGCAGCCGCTCTCAGGTGTCAGGGTTAAAACAAACAAAATGTTTTTGTTTTTTCTGTTGTCACTGTGATCAGAGGCTGAAGTTTCTCCCTGAAGTAACTTCTCTCATGTATTAACTGAACTAATTAAGTCGGTGTTTGTTGTTGTTGTTGTTGGTTTTTTTTCTAATCCTGTTCTTTGTGAACAAATCAGCCCTGGATTAAAAAAAAAAAGAAACCCCAGATGTTTATCCTCAAACGGTTCTTTCTTCTTTGTTTTTCTTCTGTTTCTGAAGACAAAGAGAAAACAGTGAAATGTTCTTGCAGTTCCTGCTTCACTTAGATCTCATTATTCTCCTCGTGTTCTTCTGGAACCCTACTTAAAAGTTAGTGCAGGAACAAGTGACAGAACTTTTTAATTGTAATTGAATTTCACAGGATGCTTTGAATTTTTATTTTTTTATTTTATTATTTTTTTTACAGACTCATTATCCCAGTATAGAGTCGTCTCAATCCAAACTCATTTCTGCAAATGAATCGGTACCAGGCACTTGGAAAAAAAAGTACAAGAAACGGTGTCTGTTGTTTTTACTATAAAAACCAGAACTACGACCTAGAAACAGTTCTGTCTCAGTTTCTGGCAATGGCCAACAGTACCAGGAACTAGAACTAATTAGCAGAAGGCACACAGAACTTTATGTTGTGCAGTAAATATGGAAGGCGTTTCTGTGCGACCGTGATTTGATATTTATTTAATTTTTAAAGTTGAGGCTGTAGAACAATCTCAAAACAGTTCCACTGAGGAACTTCACTGCTTGAAGACTTTTCAGTGTTGATCAGGTATAAACGGCCTACGGCGGGGCATTAGAGGAACTGGTACTTTATTAATGATCACTGTGGAACGTGTGCCAGTGTAAAGAACAAATCGGTTCCTGTTACAGCTCCGGTTCTCTGCAGGAAAAACCTAACTCATCAAGTCCTGTTGGTGTAGACTGGTCAAACGTCACCTCTAACTCAGAGACAGAGAGTGAATCAGTCCTTTTTGTGTACCGATGTCACTGTACACCACTGTACTGCATAACTGTAGTAATTCCTCAAACGAGGCCACGTGTAGTGGAGGAGATCAGAGCTGCAGTCTACTTCACTCCTGACTTTATTTTCCAGTCAAACTTGTTCAAGTGCAAATGCAAACTTGGCACATTTTTCACTGATGTCACAGACGGAGGGAAACGTTTCCTGGGCTGCAGTCATTAATCCAGAGGAGCGTGGACTGTGAGGGGAGAGGAGTTTGTTTTTGTCTTTGAGTCCTTGTTTATCCTGCTTTTTCATTGTTCCTCTGCTTATATTCTGCCATCATTTATTCAAATGGTTTAATAATAAACCAACTGGGTCATAGACCGATGTGCACCGTCAGCTTCAGCCGGGATTTATCTCTGTTTGTAATCACTCCAGTCTGATCAGCAGCTAAATTCTGTTCAAAATGAACAAAAACAGGAATTAATTAGTGGTGAGAGGCAATGGAAAATCATTAATTAGAGCATTTGAAGTGAAATAATTGAATTTAAGGACTAGGTCAATCAATTATTTTTCATCACCTTCTCTCTGTACTGTCTTACTTTGTCTACTGCGATCACAGAGTACTACAAACTCACAGGACAAATACAGCTGTTCAACATCTGAAGAACCTTTTTATTTGACAAACAGTCGACTGACGACACGGTTTCTCCTTACATGAACTGGTGTAGCTAACGTCAGCGCTGGTGTGTGTGTGTGTGTGTGTGTGTGTGTGTGTGTGCCAGGACTGTTGTAGCTAACAGTAACTCACAGCAACATTCTTTAAGGAGATACTGCAGACTTGAAGTACCGCCGTCATAAGAACATTTCTCCTTTCTGATTCACTCATTGAATTCTGTTCACCCGTTTGTTAATGACAAATTAACTTTAGCCTCTTTACTGCCACCTATAGGGCTAGAGTGTTCATATCCGTGTGCCAGAATGAACCCTAATTTGTTGTTTTTGTATTTGTTGTGTGTCATTTTTTAATAATAGTTTTGTACTTTGTTTGCAGTATGTTGTTTCTGTAGAAAAGCCAGTGAAGAATGAACTTTTCTTTCTAAAAATTAATCTTGTTTTCCTAACTTTCTGACTGCGTTCACAGCCTGTAGTTCTCAGTACTGTTATAATATATGGTCTAGTGGTAGAACCTATTTGTCTTGCACAGCTGACCAGTTTATTTTGGGTGTTTGGGTCAGCATTGTTCTAAAAGGTTTGCCCGAAACACTGAGGGGAGGGGCCAGTAAAGGTCAGAGCAGTCGTGGGTTTGTTGTCATTTTTAAAAAAACATATATAAAAACTCAGAAGATCTTTTTATCCGACTGAACTGAAAGTGTTGTTTACCCATGGATATGCATTTATTACAGCAGCTGGAAACAGCGTGCTGAGACATCAGATCAACAAACGTGAGCTTTGTTGTTCTGGAAACCATTTTCTGCTGAAATTCATTTGCATTGAAAAGCATTAGATAAACATTTCTTTTTCTTTTTACGGCGCTTCATGTTCCACAACATTAACTGCATCCCTGGGCATTAATGTAGAGAACTGAGGATGCAGTGCATTGTGGGATTGAATTGATTTGTTCCCATGGTCATGGAAGAACAGCCCTATCACTTACAGACCATTTTAGTCAGGAGTAAAAAAAAACCTATTCTTTGAATATGTTTTTGTGATGGAACCTGCAGACTGGATGAAAGCGTTTTCAATGGCGTCGTCTTCATCCAGACCTCAGGTCTTCATCAGACTTTTTATCCCCTCCTTTGAAAGCAGAGAAAAACCCTCTCTCTTTCATATTTGAGGCGGTGCAGATCTCATCTCAGAATCATTTTCATACGACACAGACTGGGTCAATTATTACAGCAGCAGAGCAGAGGATTATGGGAGTTAGCAGAGCAGACACAGTCTTTTGTGTTCAGCCTCAGAGACTTTCAAAAACAGACCTGTCAGCACCGATGACTGTGGCTCTGCTGCAGATAAGTCCCTCCAACTATTATCCTCCGTAAGCTAGCTGTGCCGAACCACGACTTTAGCCTCAAACCCTCCACAGAGTTGTTTTGTAAAGAACTCCCGGTCCCACCAGGATCGGACAAACGCTTCAGGCCAGTGTTTGTGACCAAACTGATGAAACAGGGACTGAGATTCTTCACACTAAAACACGCTAAAACATGAGGCTACAATCAGCTAAAAGTTAGCAAGTCATTTGTAATAACAGCAGTTCATCATTAACATTTCTACTTCCACCTAAACATACAAAAACAAAGCAGCAGATTACAGTACTCAGACGTTAACAGTTAGCAGTTAGCTAAAACATGGTTCAGTTTGGCAAACTTTCCCAAACTCTGAATGCAAACATCGAAATTTCAACAAAAAGTTAGCAGAAAGATTGTTGCCAGAAATCTGCAAAAATTACCATGAAGAAAAGTCAGCGTTCTCTAAAATATTCTAAAAACTTGACGTACTAATCCACATCAAGATCTAAGTCCACAACCGGCCAACGTTCTCTAAAATATTCTACTTTTAAACTTGACGTACTAATCCGCATCAAGATCTAAGTCCACAACCGGCCAGCGGGCCAGATGTTGGACACCCCGCTACAGTGAGCCTGCACGTGTCAGTCATCATTGGTTCATCCTGGCTGCTCTGATCCAATGATGTGTCTGTCAGTCTGTGAGGACATAAACGTCTGAGGCTGCAGGAAAATCCATACGTTCTAATGGAGCGCGTCTGTTATAGACACACACACGCGCGCGTGCGACGTCCACACGGCACTGGACATGAATTTCAATCCCAGTCTTGTAAACGTGTCAGCACGTTACGGTTATGAGGCAGAGAAGAAGCTGAGGACGATGAACGGCCAGTGAAGAACCTGGATCTGCATCGACACCAGAGTGTGAGCAGAACCGACCCAGTCAGAAACACACACACACACACACTTCTATCAATGAGAAAAGAGGTTCAGGATCTGAACCCAGATCAGCTATAAACCTCGCAGCCCTTCAGTTTTTTTCCCAGACTCCTTCACTCTGTGATTCATGACATCAGCCGCTCCATAAATAACAGCAGAAATGAGCCTTTATTCTCCTTACCTTCCCCACATACTGCGGTTCTGAGCCCATGTACTCCTCCAGCACAAAGAACTGGTTCCACACCCAGCCTCTCTTGACCCGCTGCGATCCGGCCCGTCCATTTCTCATCGGGCCCCCCAAACCCCTGGCGCGCTCCCGCCCGCCCGTCCTGCTTCGCCCCAGCAGCAGCAGCGACGACGAAGGGGGGCGTGAGGAGGAGACTGAGCCGGCGTCGACCAGGATCCAGAGGAACAGCAGCAGACAGTTCCGTGTTAGCATTGGGGATCTGTGAGGTTCAGTCCCCCCCGAGGTCTACGGTCCACAGAGGAGAGGGCTGAGCCACGCTGGACAGTGAGGAGAGCCGGATGTGGCTCAACCACAGGGTAGTGTCTCCTGGTTCCACTCAGAGGGTCATGGAGGTCATCACCTGGAGGACACAGAGGGAAATGTATCACTGACTGTGGTTAAAACCAATCTGAAGGCAGCAGTGTGTTGATGAGAATCTGGTGATAAGATTCGTATCACGATACGGGGAAACAATACGATATATTTCAATGTATTGCGATACTGTAGGAACAATAATTTGGTATCGATAGAATACAGTACCATGAAACAGAATATTTGAGATATTTCCTCCCACCTCAGTGTTGATGCTGCGTCACTGGTTCAACAAGTTTAGAGAAGCTGCAAAGTTTGTTTTTTTATTTCTGTGGTGAACAAATGTCAGACTGAGTAACTTTTGTCAGTTTTGAGCCGAGGTTTTATGTGGATTTTCTCCTCATTTAGAAAAATCGAGTTGTAAAGTTTGACAAAAGGCTTTTTTTAAAGAATGCTGGGAAAGAATTCAGAATAGTTCACATGGTTCTGTTCTGACTGAGCTCAACGACGGCTGAGGAATGCGTCCAAAAGGTTTTGTGTTCTGATCTGACCTTCAGCTACAAACCACAAAAACCCACAGGGCCGACCATGTGACGTGCTGTTTTATGATTTACCCAGCAGTGACTTGAGGAGAACTGCAGGGTCAGAACCAGATTCACTCTAGTACTAATGTAGAATTGTATTGGAATGTATGTTTAAAAAAGTTTTTAAAAAAAAGAGAGAGAAAAATCCCCCATTCACAGACAGTGTCGTTCGTCCTCATTCTCTCCGTTATATATTCAGTGTTAACACCGTCTCATTAGTCTGGGTCAAACTTCCTGTTTCCTGGACTCTGACTCACTGAAATAACACCAATAATAATAATGATGATGATGATGTGATGAAGATCTCCCACCCCTCCCCCCCGCTCCTCCTCTGTACACAGCATGATTCTCCTCCAGCCCACAGTTGTCATCTCAGCAGGTTTTGAAGAGTTTCGATTATAAAGGACTTTTTCTGCCGCTCCTTCACTGTGAAACTTTTAAATATTAATACGTCGTCCGTCAAATTTCCATCAGCACAGAATGAGTTCCACGATGCTGATGAAGCATCAGTTCCAGGTGATTGTCTCTGAACTCCACCACCAAACTTTTTACTATTTAAACAGAACCGCAGCATTTGTGGATTCCTCTGGTCAAGAAGAAAACAGTACCTGGTACTGATGACTCGCAGGGACAAAACCAAACCTGACCTGTTTTTTTAGCATAAATTATTTAACTCTAGAAAACCTTTGGATGTTGCTAACAGTTCCTGATGCTAACAGTTCCTGATGCTAACAGTTCCTGATGCTAACAGTTCCAGTTTTCATCCGAACTCATCAGCGAGCTGCTGTAACAGCAGGTAAACATTTCCAGGGACACCTCCGTTGACACCTCCCTGTCATACTGTAGATGATGGAGGTGCTGACGGAGGTGTCGGTGGAAAACACACTGATTATTGCTGTCGCTCAGACGTCGTCAGCAGCAGCAGCAGCAGCAGCAGTGCTCCTGGTAACAACGGTACCAGGAACACTGCTGCTGCAGTCACTGGTGTCACTGTCGTCACAGCTGCTGCTGCTGCTGCTGCTGCTGCTGCTGCTGCAGCTGCACTGTGTTCTGTTCACCACAGTGTGTGCGGTTGAACAAATCTGCAGAAATGACTGACAGGTGAAACAGGCGGCTGATGAAGAAGGGAATATTCTCTCTGTAACGATGTGAAGTCGACGTTCAGACGAGGAGTCGGAGGCAGAAACAAACCTGGTGATTGGAATAGTTAGGAGAACACAGCTGACCATGATTGACGTTGTCATAACTTGACAGTTTAACTCTCAAACAGCCGGCCCTGGTTGGACGCTCCTTTAATACCTGACCGTGATGACGGAGGAGTCCGATCTGTTGGTGCTCTGGGAGGAGGCAGTTTGTTGCTGTTGTGGACTATTTCATGGCCCGTATTTTGGGCAGGACACTGAGCGTCTTGCAAACACACCTGACCTTTGACCTGTGGGTCTGTTGATGTGAAGAAGGTCCAAATAATTTTTCACCGTTTTTTCTGTGCGTCAGTCAGTGTCGGTGTTTCTGGTTGATGTTAGCTGCAGGTGGCTAATGGGCGTGGCCTGTAGGATTGTGGTTTTCACCCCCTGTCCCCCCTACCCCCATCACAACAGAGTTGGTGTCTGATCTAAAGCCCAAATGTCTTGTGAAAGCTGGGTTTCTTGCTGACAGCCTGATCAGGGAACAGATGGTGTCGCGACGAGACGATTCAGTTGATGAGTGACAGATGTTTTTCTAAAAACGTTAGTTAATAAAAGTCTAAATCCAAAGTAAAGATGCTGGTTTGGTTAATCACCACCTGGTGAGACCACAGAGTTAAACACCTGTGAACTACCACAGAGTCTGCCGACACCCCCTCTGGTTCTGTCCACTGGTACTGCAGCGTTTTGTCCGTTTTTGCCTTAACCACTGCAGCAGTGTGTTAACATTTCACATTAACGGCTCTTCTGTCCACTGTGTGTATTTGCTTTAATTAGTCGGGCTGTTAAAAAGTACACTTCCCAGAGAACACTGCACTGAAAATCCACTGCAAAGTCCTGGTTGTGTCGACTCAGCGCTTGTGGAAAAGTCAGCGTCGGGGCACATTCATCACAAAAATAGCCTTGGCAACAAGAGACGTCGCCATTTGTCACTATTAAAAGAATGTGTTGTGGCTTCACTGTCCTGCTGCTTTAATGGAATCAGTGAGACACAGAGGTGTGGAGGGAAAATCTCTCCAACTCAGACCCAGACCCAGACCCAGACCCAGAGCGAACCACGACGGACGATTAGAGAAAGTCAGACACTGGAAAACTGGAATGTGAGCCCAGGTATCTATAAAAAATACTTCACTAGTATTTAATTTTTCTTATTAATTAAAATGTAACAATGGCATCAGCGATTCACAAGTTTGATTTTGGTGTGAATACGAGTGTGAATGAAATTCCAACAACTGATTGATCGAAAAAATCCACTGAAATACCAAAAATAAGAAAGAAACTTGACTTAAAAACCATAAAAATATATACATTAAATTTAAATAACGTTTGGATCGTAGTACTGATCTTATAGGAATTCAAGTACTGATTCTTGATGGTTAGTACACGGACTTTAAAACAGTAACCTTCAGAGCTGCTGTGGAATCCCAGCGAACGGCAGCCATATAATTATCTTCTATATGGAACCATGACAGTGTCACAGAAATGTGACTTTCCCCAGGTAATAAAAAAAAACACAAATTCTTCATCTTCCCAGCAACAGAGCCCACAGCCTTTTTATATCCACAGCTGCCTGGACATAACGTGGGCTGGAGGAATCTTCTGGATCTCCCTGAACGTCAGGAGCGTGGGATGTTTGAAATAATAAAAAATAAAACCAGGGAAGCCGACTCATCATGTTATATTAACACTTTTATTGTTCAGGGATCCTGCTTTTGTGCACAGCTATAACATGCAATTAGCCTCTCCCCTGGAAGTCCTTAAAAAGATCAGCTGATTGGTTTTTGGAGTGAGATTCCACCACTTTCCGAACGCTAATGTTTTTACTTCGATGCTTTGGGATTCAGTATTCAATATGTTGATGTTCGCAGCTCAGAGCAGCTACGTCCACAACTGTACCGGGATTGTTGTAGCTAACGTTAGCTCTGGTGTTGTCTTCTGGCTTGAAAAAACTCATCACTGCCACCTACTGGCGTTTGTGTTAACCTCTTTGTTATGGGTGTGCTAAAAATGAGATAATTTTTTTTTTAATTATACAGTCTGTAACTAATTAAAGTGTTGAAGTCCCAGCTCTAAGTGGTGACAAGAGCCCCTCCTTCAGGCCATGTGAGTCCACTGACTGTCTGTGGTTTCACTAAGCTCTGGACAAAGCATCTATTCATAACAAAAGCTGAAGAAAATGAACAAATGTTCTCCAGTAATGAACTCCGCCGCGGTCTTCACTGTTCATTAGTGGACTTTATGAGTTCTTCATGTGGAGCTACTTGATCATTCAGCCTTATTCATTAAACCACAGCCTCATCACCGTGTTGTTCAGCCACGTTGTCTCGTCAGATTCTAACCACGTCACCCCCTCCATCCGTCCGTCCGTCCGTCCGTCATCTTCTGTCCTCAGCTTCACTGCTCATATTTCCCCCTCAGTCAGAGCTGTAGGTTCAGCGGAGGTCAGCGCTGTGATCATGGAGGTGACGCAACTGAACATCAACCCGTTTGTTATTATGAGATGTGGACAACAATATGGTCCGTGTCTGTGTCTGTGCAGTAGAATAGAAGACCTTGAGTCTCCTGACAAGATGCTTTTCTCTCCCATGTTACAGATTGGATTCTGGCCTCACAGATTTCATTCTTCTCCATAGACAGTAGAGTAAATAAATGAACTGTTGGTTCTTTCAGGGCTGCTGTGAGTCAGAGGAAACCAAGGTTGAGATGGTCTGGACGAGCTCTGAGGACGGAGACGACCTGTCCTCCATCACCAGACTGATCACTTGTTTGGTGTCCAAAACTGGTCAAATCCCAGACAGTTCACCAGACCATCATAGGGTTAAATACCCTGAGAGCTATAATCTCTAGGTCATCTGTAAACCTGCATATACAGTATATATAAATATATAAAATTCCAAAGTAGCCTGTGAGAATCCACCACAGTCCACTCGCTGTTGCGTCATCAACAACAGGGGAAAAAAAAGAACGCTTCTTTAAATAACTTCCCTGGGAAATAGAAATAATGAGTGGCGGCGTCAGGTAATTTAATCTGCTAAGACTTTGTCACGTCCCTGAGTAGCGTAGCACATCCATAACCGTGGAAACACCGCAGGTGTTAAAAACAGGAGAGCCTCTCCGCCCACACATCCATCCCTGATTTGAAGTGAGTCACAGCTCGCCGCCGTCCGACCAGTCCAAGCCCACTTATTTGTTTGTCATGTTTACGGCAGCGTGGACAACTAATAACTCGCAGTGGGAGCCTCTGGTGGGTGGTAATGTTCGCAGGCAGATCGCTCGGCTGT